GACATATTCCAGGACAAAAAACAAAAACGGAAATCTGCTTGTTCGCTCTTTATGCATGCTTGTGTTTGCATTTTGCTTTGTGCGGAAAATCAATGAGTGGTGCAGCCCCACGCACACCAGTTGCAAGGTGGATGCAGTGGACAATAGCAAGCGGTGGCGAGTCGTGTGATGGTGGCCGTCACGTGTTCAGCTTGCATTGTTTGATTTCTCGCATCTGCTGTTGTTCTTTGCCTCAATGGATCACAAATACCAAAAACAGTGCGACGCAATGCAAAACAAATGAGAATGTTACGTGCTTCGTTTAGACTCACTTTCACTGCTGTTTCAGTCACTCGACAAGCATAGTGGAGTAACGAAGGGTCTTCTTTCGGGTTCCAAGAATTTGTTAGAGTTCAAGATCCTATTGATTCCATCTCTCCAAAGTAAGGTCGATTCGTTTTTTTTTTTTCGACCTTACAGTGCTGAGGTGTAGGTTTTGATTCCGACTCGGGTCTCCCTGTGTGGAGTTTGCATGTTCTCCCCGTGCCTGTGTGGGTTTTCTCCGGGTACTCCGGTTTCCTCCCACATTCCAAAAAAAAAATGCATGGCAGACTGATTGACACTTCAAAATTGTCCCTTGGTGTGAGTGTAAGCACGGATGGTTGTTCGTCTCTGTGTGCCCTGCGATTGGCTGGCAACCGGTTCAGGGTGTCCCCCGCCTACTGCCCGAAGATTTGCTGGGATAGGCTCCAGCATGCCCCGTCACCCTTGTGAGGATAAAGCGGATTGAAAAATGGATGGATGGATGGATGGATGGATGGATGGATAGGTGATGTTCATTCTAAGTATTTGCGGTTCATCATCAAACAATGGAATGCTTAAATTCCAACACCTCTGATGTCACACAATTTGGAATTTAACCTAAATTCTCTGAGAGGAAAAAAAAACCTCACTTCATACACCATTAAAATCTTTATGGCAGTGAGCATCAACAACAAGCTTTCTGCAAGACCTACACCACGACACACCGATAAAAGAACGCCGTCACAAAATAACTTGAAAAGCACATTTATTCAAATGAAATGCTACCTTGACCCAATGAACGAGAAAAAAAATGAAAAAAATTAGTATGCGGTCGCAAATTTGTGACAAGCTTGCTATTATTAGATCTGATGAGGCAATGCAGGTCTTAATGCTGTAAAATGGCGAGTAAGGGTGTGCATTCCTCCAATATACTGTATGACAATTCGATATGTACAGTATCTCGATACGATTCAGGGAGGTTCAATTTGAACCAATTCGAGTGGGTTTCGATTCAGCGGGATTACAATTTGATGCAATATTGAGAGAGCGGATGACAAAATGATTTTCTCCTTGTCATTTCATAGGCATTGGAATGAAAGCGGCAATACTGTAAATGAGGCATTAGTAAACGACCATGCGCCACGTGTCTCATTATATTTGGAAGTGGAACGAAATGGATTGGTTTTGTTTTAGTTTGACAAAATCCAAACTGTGAAATTCAAACAGCGTGGCAGTTTGGCAGACTCAACTTGATGTTCCTCTTTATCTCTCACACTGTCGTGCTTAATTGTGTTAAATTGGGACATGAACCTGGAACAGGAACCATCAGGGGAAAAAAAGGAAAAAAATACCCACATAAAAATGGACACAATGTGACATTGACTCATTTTAGTGCCACCGTGCTTAAAATAGCAGCTCCTTCAAACACAGAAAGACAAAATCTAAGAAAATCACGTTCAGGCTTCTGTTTTGCCTGAAGGGCTCTCACATGCTTTTTGCTATGCCACTTTTTTTTTTTGTTCTCCTTTTCATTTTCTCCACTTATGATCAGCTGACAGTACTTTTGAGAGCTCAGCATATCTGAGTCGCGTTGTAGAAAAATCTCAACATAAAGCGTACGCGGCGGCCCGGTGGTCCAGCGGTTACCGCGTCGACTTCACAGTGCAGAGGTCGTGGGTTAAATTTCGGGTCCGCCCTCCCTGTGCAGAGTTTGTATGTTCTCCGCGGGCCCGCGTGGGTTTTCTCCGGGTACTCCGGTTTCCTCCCACATTTCAAAAACATGCATGGCAGGCTGATTGAACACTCCAAATTGTCCCTTGGTGTGAGTATGAGCGCGGATGGTTGTTCGTCTCTGTGTGCCCTGCGATTGGCTGGCAACTGGTTTTGGGTGTCCCCCACCTACTGCCCGAAGACGGCGGGGATAGTCTCCCGCACCCCCGACGACCCTTGTGAGGATTAGCGGATAGGAAAATGTATGGATAAAGCGTATGCATCAGGTAACATCACTGCCTTTAAAAACGAATGCAATTCCTTCCTGGATGGCGGCCAGTGGCGGCGCATCATTAGACGGGCCATTGCAAGGCCAGCGGGCTGTTCATGTCAACAACACTTGGAGCTTTGTGAGACTGAACAGACTTCCTCCTTGCATCCTGGACAACCTCGCCCCCACCCCCTCCTGTTTCCCTCACCCGCCTTACAGTTAACCGCTGGCGACTACACCCTTCTCACACCTGGACCACCCTTTTTCTCTCCTCGGAGCTTTATGTTATCGTCACCGTGTCCTTCCCTTTCATCCGTTCCCCCTGCAGAACTCCGCTTCACCCCGCGGCCTTCGGCCCTATCGGCTACACAGCTGTTGTATATCCTATGATTATGCCGGTGTGAAGCTTTCTGGGAAAAGGGAGGGGTTTGGAAAGAAGAAGACAGCGGTGATAACGTTCTCGCTCCTGTCCGTGATCTTGTACTTGGTGGTGCAGGGAAGGGTGGGAAAGGAAATATATGGAAATGCACTGGAAGTTACACTCGAAACATGAAAGCATTGTCAATTTAAGGCTACAAAATCCTCCGATAGTACACACTGAAACCACTTTAACAGCCAAAGAAATAATACCCGGGCAGGTGAAATAGGTGTCCTGACAGCCATGTGGATATAGGTAAACACAAATGACTTAAATACAGTTCAACATTTTGTTACCTCGACTGCAAATTATGCTCTGCAACATGGATGATGAACACACAAACTCCCCACAGGAAAGCAACAACCGAGATTTGAATCGAGACTCCCAGAACTGAGAGGCAGGCGTGTTTACTAGGCACGGGCCAACCTAACGGTTTGACGGGTTACCGTAGTTTGAAAAAGTCAATGTTAATACTTTCTGTCACCGGTAATGAGCTATTCTTTCCTTTTTGGATGGGGGCGTCTTAGCAGGGCACAAGATGATTGGCTTCTTGCAGAGTGGAGTCAACAAGACACTTCTTTGAAGTGAAAAGCCTCCATTGAACTTTTTCCGACATGGTCATTTTCAATCTATCATTTCAATCCTGTGACACTGGGATATTTGTGCTCACCGTTATCATTCCATCAGAATCTAGTCACGGCTCTCGCCGAGTGCTTACCAATGGAAACTACAACAACGATAAGAAGCAGTTTTGAGGTGGAGAATACTTTTGAATGCAAACACAACTGCTATAAATTCCCAACCAATAGTCCCTTTCATGCCAGATTGGAAACTTCTAGTTTTTGATTCGGCGCTTCGAAGTGTATGATGACATTAAATAGCACACACAGAAGACATCCCGTCACATGCAGTCAACGCCGTTCTCTTAACTGTGTCGAGTGCCAGTTGAAAAAAAGTGGGTTAAGGTCATTCCGAATGTAGGTCAAAGTGATGTGGCGGCGGGAGAACCGTATTCCTCTTTCACTCGTTCATTTTCAATCGTGATTTGTTTTTCCTGTGCTGTACTTTAACACAAACAAACAAAGAAAATGCCTGATTTTTCACATTGGAATGGGAGGTTCTGATCTAGAAAGAACACAAAGACTGCAGTGAGGGTTCTAGTCCATTGACCTCTCACCGCTCTCAAGGGCTGCGGCATCCAGTGTCCTTCACACTTAAAAGCCAATCAATGTCATTTTAATCTTGTATGATTCGACACACACGTTTATAGTCTTCCACTGTTCTTGTGTTTATGGTTAAAACACTTCGACCGCAGGACAGCTACAGTCCAGGCTTTAGTGCCTTTCACTCAGAGTGGAGGACACAAAAGGAAAACAATGACCGGGATTCAGTGGCAGAGAGACCGAACGCTTACCTACTGGCCGTGACCTCTTCTTTTCACTTTGTCTTGTTAAGCTTCACGAATGTTGTTCAATGTGGTAGAAAAGTCGATCGTTTACTCCTTCGGTTTGCTCCACCGTCTAGCACTCACAGCCAGTGGCACGCGCCAGTTTTGAGCATCGGGTTGTTCTCTTGTGCGTTGTGCTCTTCTCCTGCTCGCTCACCCTCCCTCTGCTGCCCCTCTCTATTCTCTCTCTCTCTCTGTCTCTCTCTCTCTCGACACGCGTGCTGAATAATGCATTTGGTTTGGCGAGAGTGTGTTCGGAGGCCTTCCAGAGACAATCAGACAATCAGAGCGCCAGCGGCCGGCCAGCACAATGGGAGCCGACCCGAGCGGGTCAGGTTGCCTCTGTTTAGAACGTTGATACATTTATTCAGTTGCGCAACCAGTATTGGTGCGTAGCTAGTCATTTGGGGAGCCCAAGTCAACCCGGTCAGTGGGGCCGTCCACATGCAAAAGTTACTAAACGCATTTCCGACTCAGTTTTGCCGCAGTTATGGTTTCCTCCGGAGGGTCGTTAAGACCGTCAATCCAAATAAAGCCGTGAGTTATTTGGCACTATGTCCGCTGCATGGGTCAAAGTTGAATTCTATTGTGTGGTGATGAAGTGCTGCCCCCCGTGAAAGAAAATACAATTGAATCATCATGGGGACTTGCGTAATGCGGTAGAATATGGTTAAATTAGGCTTCAGAGATGGGAGAGCGTCTGTTTTGGTTGGAGTTTCTGAGTGTTCCAAAGTCTCCAATCACGCCACCAAAGTTGCTTTTTTAGAAATAGTCACTAAAGGGTTGGAAAAGTTGATGAATAGAGCAGCAACGTTGGAAAGACTGATAAATGAATATTTTATAATTCCATGCAAATGAACATTTTGACTCACCATGGCAGTGTGAGGATATCTACTCGGCATCTCCACCTGATGTCCGTTTGTTGTTGTTCCGATAACCCCACAGCCTAAAATAAAAACAATAAAAAAGAATGTATACACCGTACACTATTTAAGCCCCGCCCCAAAATACTTTTCAGTAATCTTCTGTTCAGTCGCCTCTTGACAGAAGGCTTAGACTTTCAGAAACAAACAAAAAAAAATACAATGAGATAACTCATATTAGCAGCCATATTCTACAATCTATTGAAGAAATGCAAGGATGGAATATTTTGGGAGAGTCCTCCTAAATCCGGGAGCGTTGCAAAATGCTTCCATTTATGCAATGTCTACAAAGCAGCATTGTGGCACTCATTTGGAAGATTTTTGGTAGTATTGTCGAGGTTGGAGCATCTCCTGAACATAATAATTCTGGCGTAAGAACGAATGTGCGTAAACCCGTACTGGGTAAGAACTTGATTTGTAAATGTCCATTCTGTTCTGGAAGTAATTTTTCTAAATTCCTCAATTGAGCAATACTAATTTCCTCAAATCATTTTTTTCCCTTCCATGTGTTCCCATTAAAGCAGATTTAGCCTTTGGATTCACCCGCTGTGTTTTTCCAGCTCCATGCCTTAAACATGAGCAATAATCATGAAATGGTGTAGAAATCAGCAGTCAGTCAGATGCTTTACATGACATTGTCATTGTCCCGGGATCATTTGATTATGGTGCTTATGATTACACAGCCAGGAATCGAATACATGTGCGGCCTCGTTTCCGGTTGTCATGGTGTCTCTCATATGATGAGTTGTCATATCCTGCTCTTACGTCTTCTGTACGGTGTGCGTCATGTTTGTGCCAGAGTCTCACTCCGCCATACATTTCCGGTTTAATCGGAGTTATGAATGAATTACAATACAAAAAAGCTGCAGAATAATCAATTTTGCTTCCTCTTCATGGGACTAGAGTTGCTCTCTATCTCCCAATTTCTCTTACTTGCCACTTACCTGCCCTCTCATGGTTTTCGTGCAGATTACGGTAAACTCGTAAGAGGTTTGTTGTCTTCTGTTATGTGTGTGCATAAATAAAGTGCTCCCACTAGAGTGGATTCTGCTGTATTGTCGTTTTTGTAATTGGTTTTAAAGTCATATTGATCAACTGAACGCGTTTCTGTCTCGAATCATTTCTGACTTGTGAGATGTTTTAATCCAAAGTCAACTAAATGTGAAGTCTGATGCATATACGGGCCACAACATGAGGCACACATTCTCAGAGCGGTACGGTATACGATAAAAGAAGAAATGTTTGACACTAACAACAGATGTTCATTTCACATTTTCATTTGGGTGGTTAAGTGTTGACCTTATCGGAAAGCCAAAACCGTATCATCTCCCATGATGATGGAGCGCCGGTCGACAGCACTGGCACACTGCAGTGTAAGATTAATACCCATTTGACGAAAAATACCTCCTTTTCTGATGTCATTCCACTTTTATTCTTCCCATTCAGAATTGTTTTTCATTTCCTACTTGGGTGTGCCTGTCGTTTTGTGGCCAGAGAGAGTGCACTTGTTAGTGGCAGTGGGTATTAGAGGAAGAGGTCTAGGGGTGCAGTGAGGAGAGCTGGTGATCCTTTTATTTATTTTTTGACAGCAGCCAATGAAACAGTGAATGTTAAATGGAGAGACAGACGGAAAGAACAACAAGCAAGAGACAGCAGGGGCTGAACTGGAGAAACTCAGCTTTATTTGTCCAAAGATAGTGAGAGGATACAAACGTCAGAGAAAGAGGTGGGGGGGGGGGGATGTGATAGTGACACTGAAGAACCATCGAGAGAAAGAGAAATGTGAACAATAGAAAATGGCTCCTTTTTTTTTTTTTTTTTTTTTTTTTTTTAAATAAAAATTCCATCAAACAAGGACAGGCAGAGGGGGAAGGAAGAGCGCCCCCTAGAGAGCTAAAGTAGTACTTCACTGAGTGGCAGTGTGGCTGCAAGCTCAACAAGCAGCAAACCAGAAAGGCAAACCGCTCATCAATTCCCTCAGCTTTCCATTTTATTTTTTTTTTCTGTGCCGAAAGCTATTTTGGACCGCGTAATTGTATTTCCTACTGTTGATGCTGCTTGACGAGAAACTCTCTGCACAGCCTCCACAGTTTCAGAAGACAAACGTTGAAGCGATGCTCAAGAGAGTTCAAATGAATCTAGTGTGTTTGTTGCAAATCATTCTTATCACCCGATAGTACGATCAAAACCAGGCAGATGAATTTAATCCACCCATCCGTCTTTTATAGAACTTGTCCTCAGGGGCGAGTTTAAGCTGGAGCCCATCCCAGCTGACATAGGGAAAAACCGTAGGGGACATCATGGACTGGTTGCCATTAATTGCATGAATTTCAACCTTTTCTACTTCTGAAATGATAACAGCTTCTACTCGTTGAATTGCATTTCCAATGGTTGCCAGAATAGCGCATCTAAAAATGTTGGTGGTCTGCGTGAGAGAGAAATGAAACGCTTGCTCAGCATGCAGTTAATGGGCAACCATGCACATCGATTGAGAGGGTTAGTTTTAGGATCCCGTCCCTGCAAAATGTCCTCACATGCCTTCGGGAGTCAGCGTGACACATCTGCAGAAGGAATTAGCCGTTAGGAGGAGTCCGTACGAGCTTGTGGGAGCAAAACAATCGTCGGGCGTGTTTTAAGTGGGACATTAAGCAGTGAAGTGGGATGAAAACTCGAAAAATCTTGTCCTATCGCATCATAGGACATAAAATGACGATAATAGTGATCTTTAGTGTACTATATATATATATATGTGAAAAATAAAGTCATTTCTGGATAGAGCCTTCAGTATTTACATTCTTTAACTACACAGGAACCTCAAAACAAGGCGTGGCTAATCAGCGAGAGTGGCCAGTCGCACGAAACAGAGCGTGTTTACTTTAAGGCAAACTACTATTCAGCTATAGCAGGTCCATTTAGAGAAATGTCAATTTTGGAATATCTTATCACAGCATTTGAATCGTATACGTTTCATTCTACGATGATGACATGTATTTTAAAATGTATCTGGATCCAGATGATTTGATTTTGTGTAAGCACTTGACGAAATAAAAATGGAGTAAATTCAACACACCCTTTTGCAGTGTTACTAAGTATCATTTTCCTGAGGGGCCAATAATGCTTTGTTGTTTATTTAGCTTGATGATAAAGGAATTGATTCTCATCATCAAGTGGAGCAGTGGCCACCATTTGATTATGTAGACACTTTTACTGCAACAGTATTGCTCTCGGATTGACACATTAGAGTTAACTCATTCACTCCCAAAGACGTTTTTAAACGTCTTTTCAGACTTGGTCCAGAATTGGCTGGTACTGAAATGAATTAATTAGCCCTGAACCTGACGTGGATGATTGTTGCTTTTGCAAGTTCTGCTGGCCTCCGACCAAGACAATCAGCTGTACTGTGTACTCTGTATGAATATAAAAGATGTTATCCAAGACCACGTTATTGTAGCACCAATGTAAACGACGAGCTGGCAGTGTCGTGGTGGTCCTCTGAAGCTCTGGCGGACAACTTAAATGACATTAAAAGTTGCCTTACGCAAGACCGGTGGTTCCCTATCCATCCATTTTCTACAGCGTTTGTCTTCATTGGTGTTGTGGCAAACGGACGCCAATCGCCAGCTGACTTTGAGCGAGAGGTTAGGTACACCTCGGTCGCCTTTCAAGTCACTGGGCACATCGACAATCATTGAAACTCACATTCACACCTATGGACAATTTAGAGTGTTCGGTTAAGCTAACATGCATGTTTCTGCTTCATCCTGTGATGGAGACGTGCTTTCCACAATACCACCATTCAGGTGGTTGATGTGCAGTCACCAGTGGGATTTGTTCATGGACATGAATTTGTAGTATCAGATACACCGAGACAGAAATGGCTGCACAATTCCTAAGGTGTTTCATGGCTTCTTATTGGCTGCTGAGATAGGAAGGGATTGAATGGGAGGAAATAACTTCATCGGTGGAATAGCTCAAGTTGGTGGAAACAACAAGAAACAACTCGTTGAACCTCACTTTTGTATCGAAAGAAGCATCTCCAAAAATGATCTGGATTTGGTTTTCCAAAACAAATAGACAAAAACTATTCCGATAAAAGCTAACTAAAATCAATATCATCGTAGAAAACCTAATTGTTGAGTTGTTTGGCTACGACTATTCAGGTGGAAGAATAATAGAGGCACATGAAGAAACCAAGGCAACAAGGACCCTCCCCCGTCTTGCCCGCCACAGACACACGCACTTTCTCCACGCAACTCTGTTTCTTTAAATCGTGAGTGTGTTTGTTTGGGTAAAAGGAATTCAAGGGGAAAAAAAGTGACATATATTTATTATATTATTGTTATAATTTAGTGTTTTATGACCTGTTTTGCTGAAGGTCCTTGTGTGGCTCAATAGTGTTTGCTTAGAAACGCGACAGCGAGCTGTCTGTGAAATCGAGACTGGAATAGCATATTCGAGCCTTGCTTGGCAAACAAACATGGAAGTTTCTCCATCGATCTGTCTTTGTTCGCAATGACCGCAGCAGCATTATAACAGATGAGTTCCTGCTGATTGGTTTGAATTTGTTGAATTAAACCGTCAGGAGGTCAGAGCCACCGTGTTGGCACAAAGGATAAAAAAACAAAACAAAAAAATAACTCCAGAAATGCACGACTGAGTGAAGGCGTTAACGTGTGTGCGTGTGCGTGTGTGTGGCAGCCGCTCAGAGTCCAGTAGAGAAGAGGCTTCGGTTAGTAGCCATCCAAAGACAGAGGGAAAAGAGGGGTGTTGTGGGTAAAAATAAAAAGGAAGCAGAAGATTCAGTCACATGACTATGCAGCACTTGCAGCGTTTCCTCTTGTCTGTACCTGTGGCAGGGGTGAGACCGGGAGGCGGGGCTTTGTTGGCTTCGGGGTTTGGCGGCGGCGAGGCGGCGCTGTCGTGCTCGCGGCCGTCCGACGAGAGTTCTGTGCTGGCGGCCTCGGATGTGACCGGCCGGCCCGACACGAGGTCGGCCGCCGTGCCGTCGATGATGGACAGGTCGGTGACCGTCTTCTCCCTCAGGGACTTCTCGTCATCTTCATCGATCAGCACCACCTCGGCCTTGACGGCGCCGTCGAAACCGAGCAGCCGCCGGCTCTCGCTCGTGTCTTCCAGGTCCTGGTAGCCCAGGAACACCATGGTGACCGGATGCTCGGCGCTGGCTCGGGGCACGGAGCTAACTTCTGGTCCCGGCTGGGCTGATGGGCCGGGCTGCGTCACGATAGGAGCCGAGGATGGGGGCATCATGCCGAGCCGAGTCTCTCTCTGCAGGGTGACCTGGGCAGGTGGGCTCGATGGGATGGAGGGCGGGGCGCAGGATGGTGGGGACAGATCGTCCGTAGCCGTCGGCGAGGCATCGGCCTGTGGGGCAGCGGGGGTAACCAATACCTGAGCCCTCCTTTCATCTCCCCCTTCGCCAGATCTAGCCGCTCTCTGGATTAGCTGGTCGACCCGCGAGGAGCTCCACCCGTTCTCCACCGAGGTCGTGGACACCCCCCCGCAGCTCGTGACTTCGTAGACGACTTTCCTGCCGTCGTCGTAGATCTTGACACCGCGCGAGCCCGCTTCTGACGGGTTCATGCGGTTCGCTGACAGGATGCGCTGTTCGCCGGTCTGAGGGTCGTGCTGCACGTTGATCTCCATGGCAAACATTGCTGTTAGAAGGGGGGAGGAGGGAATGAGGAAAGGGGTGAGGGGGGCGGGGGGTGAAGGAAGAGTGCGGGGTTGGAGAAGGTGGAAGGAGTCAAGCGTGAAGATGGGGGCACACAGGAGACTGAAAAACCTTCAGTGTTACAATGCTTAGCCTGAAGGCCGCTTGCATAAGACGTCAATATAAGTGTATCAAATTATTACTTTTACAAATATAACAACATTTTGTTTGAACTGACACAGTCAGAGAGGCATCGTCAGTGTCGACTTTTGCTACAAATGTAATGACAGTTGGTCCTAAAACGGAATACCGAGTTAACACGTTGCCCAACTTCTCCTATTTCTTCTTCTTGGTATTTTCTGTTAGCCTGGATGGATGGCGGCACCACAGTACCTCTCACAGGTCAGTTGAGGTACTACAACATACATCATGATAGTCGCAGAGATATTTAGTGCATGCTGTGGGATACGCGTGCTGTGTGGTATTAGTCAAGTACAACACACGCATTTCGACAGTTAGTTCAAATGTTAAAAACTGTGACGTGTATAGTTATCTCGCTTCCAATATTTGACTCTCTCATGTAACTATTTTAATGTTGCACCAATCTTTGCTGTCGTTTTTTTGATGGGGTTGTGGTCAGGGCTCTGAAATGATTCACCATCAACGCGTGGCCTTCATGGACACTGCTTTGTGCGCTGGGCACCAGCCTTCCGTGATTTCCCCAAATTGTTGAAAGCAGAGATTTGTTTCACACCACTTTTGAATTGCCCCAAGACGAGTCCATCAAGCGTACTTTTATCCAAAAAAAAAAATGCAATTAATTACATTCAGGCAATTTCTATATTCTATATTTCTAAGATTTATAAGATGAACAACTTGAGCAACGTTTGAAAAAAAAAAAGTGATGAAAACATTGCTTGCTTAGTGTTGCTATAGTTAAGCTTGTGCAAAAACACTAACTGAAATCTACAAATGATAAGTAGCCACCAGGAAATCTTTGGCAAGTGTAGGAATGAGAAAAATCTGTCAATGACTGAGTATGTATTTCACTGTTCGTGCTCTGCTGTTCCAAGGTTTTTATTTAGCATAGAATGATGCCTGACTTTAATTAGCATGTATACTTAGGTACTAACCTGTCTGTCTTTGTGCCCTGTGTGTGTCTGATCCAACTTGGCTTTCTACCAAACCGTCGATGCCCTTTCATCATCCCTCACAGAACCACCTCCCTCCCCTCCGCTCCTCTCCCCTCGCCCTTGTCATCGTCTCCATCCTTACCGGGTCTCAGTGCTGCCTTCTCTCCAGGCGCAGGTGGGCTGCTCCGGGGCTGCGTGGCCAGGGATAGTTGCTCGCGATCGAGATCCGCGCCGCTCGAGAGAGGAGCGGATGTACAGTCGGTGGCCTCCACTGAGCACGAGCACAAAGGGGAGGGGGTGGAGGGAGGTCAGTGCGAAAGACTGTCAGTGATGTTGGGGGCAGAGTAGCACACACACACACACACACACACACACACACACACACACACACACACACGCACACACACGCACACACACTGGGTACACAAATAAACACAAGTGATGAAGTAAACTATGCACTGCCTCACCACCAGCACACACACACACACACACACACACACACACACACACACACACACTTGTCTCACTTTTGTGTCCACGGCAACTGGAGCACCCTAGAGGTTCATGTGCTTATGCAGCAAAAAATGTAAATGTGTGCGAGTGTGTGTGTGTGTGTGTGTGTGTGTGTGTGTGTGTGTGTGTGTGTGTGTGTGTGTGTGTGTGTTTGCATGTGCGTGTGATAGGAAGAACAAAGCGGCAGGGGCTCACAGGGCTTTTTGGAGAATAGTGGGGGGATAAAGCCAGCGACTGCAGGCTGCAGAGTCATGGCCTTGTGTGAGTTTGAGCGTCAATAGTCTTGCTGAGCAGGGTGTGTTTGTGTGTGTGTGTGTGTGTGTGTGTGAGTGTGTGTGTGTGTGTGTGTGTGTGTGTTTTTTAGTGCGAGTGTGCAGCGTTACTCTATACTGCATGTCTATGTGCTCTATCCGTGGCAATCGGAGTGTGTGTTTGCAAGTTCATGGGTGCTCTCTGGCCCGAATCGCTCCTGCCTCAGCGAGATTATTATCCAAACAAAGGCACACTGGCACATGCACACACATTTGGAAACAACAGTGAGTGACACCCTTGAGAGGAACAACGATGCTATTAAGGTGACAATGTGCAGATAATGTGTACAGCGGAATAGGAATGGACCAATAGGGGGAAAGGTCGCCCATAAAAGCTGATTGTCTGTTAAATTGAAATCGACTTGTTTCATGACATGTAAACGCTCAATACATTACAAATTTGTTTTGTAACTTTTTTTTCCGCAGGCAAAAAAAAATCCCAATATGGGACTAAGCTATTCGAAATAAATATATTTTTTTAATTCTTAAAATTGTTTGAAACTTTTTAAGTGTATCCAAACTTGAATTGCTGGTGCTTTAGTTTAGTGGGATAATGGCATCTAGCTGGTCAATTTTTAAGAGCTGTTGTCTCCACTAACATGGCCGCCACATACAGGTGTGTCCATGTGTTGCCTTTGACAGGAACGGACACTGTTTTGTATCCGTTAAATACGAAATCCATCAAATCGGGGTCTGTTGAATTAAGGTGTATACTCGGGCATGTGTGTGTGTCATTGATCATACCTCCGTCATTGGCCATCAGACTCTGAAATAGAGAACAAAAACCTCATCAATCCCTGTAATTTTGTTCGCTTCATCATCTCATTTGCTACATATGGTAAAATGGAATTTGTATCTTGAAAGTCGCATAAAACTTCAAATGAAACATGCCTTGAGTCAATCATTAAAATGCAGATGTTTGGCTTTTTGGACCTTTTTGCAACACATATTCCAAAGAAACGTTATCAACGAGGGGTGTTAAGCAATATATATATATATATATATATATATATATACACACACACACACACACACACACACACACACACACACACACACACACACACACGCACACACACAATAATGCCAAAGGAAATAAAACTCCACTCTTCCGTACAGTTGGATTGCACTTTGCGCTAGACTTGCATTGGGCATGAATAAAGAGGCTGGAGGGTTTTGTTTGTTATAGGGCCTGATTTATTAATATCTCAAATAACGGGCACTAAATTGTGCTCACTTTCCCAGATTGAATGCAAGTTGGTGACCATGCTATGCCTGATTGACTAAGATTGCAATCTGTTATTTAAATCCCTAATAGCTCATTCAATTACTCTAGCAGTTTACGCGCACTGTTGACAATAGTTTGATCATTTGCAGAATAGATTATTTCCATACTCATTGTTTAAAATTGCCACGTTTTCTCAAGTATCAATCGGAGGTACACCAGCACCCTTGAACAGATCATATCTGACTATCCATGGAATGAATTCATTCAAATCGAAGAAAAAAAAAAGTTCAAGTGAAAGAAAACAGGCATTTAATCCTAGGTACATCTTTATATCATAAAAATTTTGGCCACAGCTCCTCGACTGGAGCATGTTAAGATTGTGGAGTAAATTGTACCTGTTGTGCTCAATTGGATTAAATTTCAATTGAAACAATGTACATGTCACAATTAGCCTTTGCAAGTTAAGATGTACCTATAAATACATAAAAACATATACTATAAAGTTTATTTTATATATGTATATATATATATATATATATATATATATATATATATATATATTTGTAAGTTCATGCTTTGTACCTTCTGCAGATCTTCTATTGAGCGTTCCGTCTCCTTGAGGCGTTCCCGTAAAGCCCGCTCTTTAGCTGAGATCAGAGATTCCTCACTCTCAAGCGTACCGATTTCAGATTCCAGCCTACAAACAAACAAATAGCACACTTTGAGTCTATAATGGAGAGATGGGACATCTGGACTAATTTTCAGCACGTATGATACAAGGGCGGATTGTACAGACGAGCTCCATTTTTGCACACGGTCTAAATTCTTGATAGTTTCATATCAAGCTTTTATTTAACTATTTACATCTAAAATAGTCACAAAGGGCAGGAATTATAATTATTTGGACCGCTTTCTGCTCTGTGTCAATGTCAGCTTGGTTAGGAGGCTTCTTGTTTTGGTTACCAATGTGAAAATTTGACTGTGCTGCAGTTCATTTCAGAGGTGGAGCTCATCTAGTGGGACGCTAACCACCCCAAGATCCTAAAAAAAATTCTTGACTTTTTTATAAATCACCTTGCTCTTTTTTTTTCTTTTACATAATAAGAGGTCAAGGTCGAATTAGCATAATTTACAGACGTTGCTCATGGATGAGTTTTAGCATGCGACATAAATAAAAGCTGATGAATGTCAGTGGCCTTTGAGTACTTAAATTTTTCTGTACATGAAAACGTTTGGATGTCAACCTGCCCCCCCCCCCCCACCGCTCCCAAAAAAAAAATCTGTTCTGCTTGACAGTTTGCTCTTGTGGCAAGATGGCATTAATTGCGCTTGTTCAGGAAGACAGCCTACGTTGACAAAAAGCATATTTTGTCAAACAGCAGCATCGCATTGTAAAGGCTCAAAACAGTTTATCCTGAGAGAGACGGAAATAATCCTCCGTGACAGATCAACAATTACACAATTCATCCAAACCATGCTGCAGTACTAATCCCATTTGTTATCTTTCAAAGTGTATATCAGAGCTTAAGTACCAGTTTAGATTTGGAGGAAGTCACTTGACACACATTGCAACCTCTCAAGTATTTCCATCCATCCATTTACACGAGCAAGTGAGCTGCAGCCTATCTTTAGCTGAGTTTGGGCAAAAGACGGTGGATTGACCTAGAGTGGGTTGCCAGTCAATTACAGGTCGGATGAACACAACCTAGCAGGCATCGCAGAACGGATTTTGTTGAACCCGAGAAATTCGACTTCATGTTGCAGCATGAGGACTGTGGCGACATCTCCAAACGGAGAGAATTCTGGATCACATTTAGGACACAGTCAGACGCTGACGTGTCAGAGCCATGAAACACACTCACACTTGGGGACATGATGGATGTAAAAACAAAAGGAGGAAACGGTCAGGGAGGAGAACCGCCGTTGCTTCCTCACAGCCTGCCAGCACTTGCTACACTTTCGTGCACTCCTCTGGGATTCAAAGAATGCGAATGCGTGCCATCGTTCTCTGTGACAAAAAGAAGACCTTTGGCTTCATCACGCTGCCATAAACCGTTGCTCTTGCCGCATTTTTTCCACAAGAAGCGGAGATCGTTCCTTCATTTTGGCATCCAAAGCAGTTTTATTCAGTGTTGATCTGACAGGCTTTCGATTCAGTGGACAGTTTTATCTGTGACATTTTTCAGAGACATCAGGGTGATGGTTTCGTGGTCAAGCATCACGTAATTATGTTTGTGACAAACTAAATGGACTCGATATTCTGGGCTTTGGTATTCCAGAGCAGTTAAAAGAAAATGAGAAGTCTCCGCAGCTCTAGACGGCGGCACTGCAGTGAAACAATAGTTTGAAACCCGGTTTTGTTGGACAATGGACGCAATAACTTGCTGCTAAAATGAGCAGCGTGCCAACTTTTGAATCCCAAACAAGGATAATGAGCAGCATGCAAATCTTTCGAAGACAGCAGGACTATATTTACCAAATTCATTTTAGTCGCGGACCAATTTGGAGTTGCCTCTTCCCTCGGACGGCCGTTGTGAAAGTGAAACCACAAAATTATAACTTGAGCAAAACAAATGAATAAATTACTAGTTTGGAAATATCAGTCAAGTCAATTATAAGAGTTTGTTCAATTATTGTGAAAGTGAGTGTAAACAGGGTAACAAAATGACTGCAAGATCTCAACATTGTTTATTACACATGACAATTTGACATTTCGGTGCAGATTTTAGCAAATTGACACACATGATTTGCTTTTGCGGGCCACATAAAATCATCCGGCGGGCCGGATCTGGCCCCCGGGCCTTGAGTTTGACACTTTTACCAATGGGCACTTGAGCCATCTGTCCTTGGTTCTCTCGTTCCTCTTGTTTCCTTTATAAACCGAGGAGTTACGTTGTGTTTGTTTGTGAGCTCAAGGTTCTCGCACAAGGTTTTTTTTAAAAAAATGAGATAAAAGAACCAATGAGTTTAATTATAAGAGTTAGAATGAACAACCATTTACGCTCACAATCACACCTAGGGACAATTTAGAGTATTCCATTAGACTCCCATTGCATGTTTTTGGAATGTGGGAGGAAACCGGAGTACCCGGAGAAAACCCACACGGGGAGACCACGCCAACTCCACACAGTAAGGCCGGAGCCGTAATCGAACCCTGCAACACTGCACTGTGAGGCCGACGTGCTAATCAGTCGACCGCCGTGCCAACCATATACAAACATATTTTTACTGCTAAATGGTTTTTGGACAATTTATTAGACCATTTCCCGTGTCACCGCTGGTGAACTCTCATGTGGCGCAAAGGTTGGGAAAGACCTCTTTGATGCTGTGCTTTGTTTAAAAAAAAATAAAATAAAATTTTTTTAAAAAAGCCGATCCCTGAGAAAACCACATGCTTCATGCCTCCATCTCGACTCGCACTGCATCACAAGTAATGACTCTTCCCCCTCCATGGTCCTTGACTAAGCAGCACATAGAGTTGACTATTATTTGCGACTAGCACCCCCTAGTGACCACACCAGATACATGACCAAGACTGCATGGCAGCAAAGGGGCTGAGGAAACACTGTCCTGTCATCCTCCATGGTATTGTTTACTCATTTCTCATCATTATTATTATTACTTTTTTTTCCACTACTCTTTCGATCATTGTCCATTAAGGACAGATGATTTTCTACAATTTTGTGTCGTATAAGCAGCGGCGATGCTAAAAACGAACCCGGTGTCAACGTTACCGTCCCGCCTTGAGAGCCAGCCGCAGGCTAGTTGCCATGGATACGCCCAGATTTCCACATCATAAAGGACAAGGAAGAGTGCATTTCTGATTTTATGTGGTGGCGGTGGAGTGTGTGCATATGCCCACATGCGTTGAAGATTCCCAGGCGATCCAAAAGACTGACGCTACGGAGGAAGAAGGAGAAGCTCTAACCACGCGGTAGAGAAGCGAGTATTTTTACACCGTAATTCATGTGTGCTGTTTGTGAACTTTCCTTCTGGGTGTACTTGTTCTCTTGGGAGCCAGTTTCCAAGATGCGAGGGAGCTGCTGGAAAGATCACATTGGTTGAGGTAAGCCTCAGCAAGCGGTGCCAGCGAGCCAACATGTGCCCAAGAATTTCACAAGTGAAAAAAAAAAAAAGATGACTTTTCTGCTCTTGTAAAAGTCTCAAATCTATTTCCCTTCCATCAATATATCAACTTTCGCATTTTGGAAGGGAACCTTTTCTTTGCTGGTTCATCAGATATTCCATCCATCCATATCCTGTACTGGTCACCAGCCAATCACAGGCCACTTACAATATAGGCAAGGCAAGGCAGTTTTATTCATATCGCACATGTCATACACAAGGTAACTCAATGTGCTTCACAAAACCACAAGCACAACACCTTCAAAGGCAAAGCAAAGACAATAAAGGTAGCTTATTAAAACGTCTAAAAGAAAAAAAAATGCTGAAAAGCTCGTAATCGGATTTATAGACATCTATATTTGGGTCTAACGTCACTTCTGCCAATGTACAGTATTCCATTTGCGTACAGCCTAGCAGCTAAATGCTGCTTCACCATGTTTGCATTGAAACCTGGGCTCCACTAATTGACCTCAAAGCCCAAAGCTCAAACATTTGCAGACCTCAAAACCCTACGGGGTTTATATTTATATGCAAATTTCCCCAGTGTGAGACAAATACAGGTTATCTTATCTTATTCAATTAGCATTTCCTGAATGTGTTTAGGTAGCAAACCAGTCCGTTATTTATAGACCCTGAAAACGTATTCTACAGCTGACTGTGAGATATCAACAGACAACTACGGTATGCACGCTCACGCCTTTAAAGTCTTCAATGAACCGAGCTAGCATGTTTTTGGAATGTCAGAGGAAGCCTTCCAAACATTACTGCTAATAATATTATCCATACACAAAGCTGTTTTCCACATTCTTAAAAAGAAATAAGAAAGTATATGTTTGGCCTTTATTCAATTCACACAGATGTTTTAAAAGTCTTTTTTACTTTCACTTGCTCATTTTTTTTTCCTCTCTCCCGGCCCAACACACTTTACATTTTCAGTAGCATATTTATCTGTCGCTCGCCTTCTTCACGACCTATAAAACTGACAGAAAGCGACCCACCTATTATGTTCACACTTTTCATAGTAAATGTGTAATTAATAGAAAAGACCACCATGAAGCACTTAATCTTGCGCACCACACCACAGCTTTATAGAATCATAAACGCTCATGCATTATTCAAACCTGCTCGCTTGGTGATGGGTTATTCCCTTCACGAGGTAACACTAAAAATCAGAACGCATTTCTCATGAATCAAGATGTCACCTACCTCCAGTAGTTCTAAAACATAATGTCTGAAGCGCACTGCAGTATACTCTTTGTTTTCTGCCTTAGCTGCACTATGCTTATCGCTATTTCATTTCTCTGCCAATTCGGTTGGAAAGATCATTTGTTTCTCAGATAAAGCTGCCTGCTCCTGGGAAATTACTTGACTCCTTGCATTTGGTCTGCAGTGTTATTTCTAACGCACTCGAAAGGACAAGCAGCATCAGTTTGTCCAAATTACACGGCTGTTTGGTCAACCAGAAGGAGGGCGAGCACGGATGAAAGCAAGACCGCGCAGCGCTCGGTACCCAAACGGCATTTAAGTTTCGCTTAAGCCACTGGTGGTGATGGAGAAACATTTACTCACCCTTACTGTACAGGTAATCTTAAACTAAAGCCTCTATGACAGTTGTCACTCAAAACGAAGTCTCATCTTTTTAAAACCTACAGTAGTCTATGTTATTAATGTAGCTTCTTTTTCAGTGCAAGAGTCGCATGTAAGGCCCTGATCAAACGGGAAACCATAACGTTGACATTTGGAAGCAGTTTTAATGGTTGACAAGCAGCGTGCTGAGAAATGATGCAAGCATCAATGCTTGCATGGGGGCAAAAAGATAATTATTTCCAAAGCCTGATGTAAAGTGGAACAGGCAATGTTTCCGTGTTATTTCCTGCAGTAGGTATAGTTTGCTTCTGTCGGACAGGTGCAATATACCACAGAGGTTCAATTTGTCTCGTTTGGCATGGCTTGGATTAAGCTAAAATGATTCTGTTAAATGGCACACTGTATGGTCAGATAAAATGAAACATATCTTTCCATGTTTCTGTCATAGCAGGAGTGGTTGAAACATTTGAATGACGGAAAACATCAACGAGAAAAATGCCTCATAGTTATTGGAGCTGTGTCTGATATTTTGGATACACAAGATTTAAAAAAAAACAACAAAAAAAACATCAGGGAATGAAAACCGATAACCCGACAATCTCTGTAAAAGCTGGACATTTGAAACTGTACAGCTCTTGCCTTAGATGTCATTGGATTGTGCCATATCCTAATGTCATAGCTGGTTAGTGCAGGGATACGGTATTGTCAGTGGTATATGCAAAAAAAAATAAAGTGCCGTATTTTCCACACTATAAGGCGCTTTGGAACATAAGGCGCACCTTCAATGAATGGCCTATTTTAAAACTGTTTTCATATATAGGGCGCACCGCATTATAAGGCGTATAGATACTACAATAGTGGCTATGGTTGCCTTATGCATCCACTGGATGGGGCTACACGAAAGGGAATACAATACAATACAGCTTTATTTATGTCGAGCTTTCGCAACCGCTCGAGCTGTAACAAAGCGCTTTACGGAACATTTAAAATATTACGTCCAAGAAATCAGATTATTAATCCACACAGAAGGCTCATCAGATCAGGCGCACTGTCGGCTTTTGAGAAAATTGAATGCTTTTAGGTGCGCCTTATAATGCGGAAAATACGGTATCCAGCATTTGCATGGAAATATAAACCGTTCTGCTCTTCTGTAGTGTGGCTAAATAAAACATGAAATAGCAGCAGTCCAAATGTAGCACAGCACGGGTACGTGTCAGGTCAATGCCTTTGCACATTGTGAAAAGGGCCTTTTACGCTGTATTCATCTCTCTCTTGTTTACTTAGCTCGGCCATGTAATGATAGGGATATTTGTAAAACTCCCGCCGCCACACTCGCGCACTCCGAGTTTGTCCTTCAGGCAGTGTGAGCGTCCTCTGCTGCACACAATGACTCCTCTTTCTTCACCACCCGGGACGCTTTTGTAGGCTTCCCGAGTTGGTTTATGACCAAAATATCGTGCAAAAGGACCTTTTTGGGGGTGGCGAGGGGGAGGAGGGATTTCCATATGTGGATAGCACAAAGATCGTGCTGTTCCTCTTGCTTTTCTGTTATTTCCAGCGTAAGGTTTACACTCACACAAAGATGCCGTTGTTTTCCTGTCTTGATGTATCTTTTTCATCGTGACCGTTGAAATATTTGTTTTGCCTCTTCCTCTATGGAAAAGCTAAATGTTGATTTGTTTCTAAGTTTCATGGTATTTTTCTATTGTACATTCCTTTAAAACAAAATGACGTGTTGGCAGCCTTTCTTTGCTCTTGAGAAGGCTGTGAAAAGGCACCAGGGCCCCTAAAAAAAGATTCGGCTTTGTCTTAGTCACTTTCTATCATAAAAGTGTCCACCGGCGCACATGTTCTGAGTTTAACAGTTGTAAAAAGAAGATGGGAGAGGAGGCCTCCGGGGCTTCTGTGCATTTAGTAAGAGAGCAGGGGAGGGCGTGCGGGCTCATTTGAAAATGTTTACGAGGAGAAGGATTTGTGAGTGCTCATACCTTATCCCTTGCAATCAATCCCGAAATCCAATCTGTAGCGGTTGCTGAGTTTCCAGGATATTTGGGGATCGGAAATTGTAGACGCCATCACAACAGCTTCCGTGAAGTCCATTTTGGTTCTCCTTTCTAACAGAATCTTCCACCATGATAACTAAGGGAAGGTAATCTTCCACATCGTAACTGTGGTTATGCATTGCAAACAAAAACTTTTTCTGCCTTGAAACGGGAAAATTCTGCTGTGTCCCATTGGGGAAGGGGGGGTGGGGATGATACTGTACAGCCACAAAGCGTTAAGGAGTGAAAAGGACTCCTGAGCTCAGTAAAGAGTTATTGGTTACAGATGTGCTTTATTTACAATATTTATGTGAAGCTTATGTGTAGTATATGCTAGTTGGGACTGCTATGTCGACACCGCCACCTTGTGACATCATATAAGACAGGATTTGAAAACAGCACTCTTTAAAAGCAGCGCATTAACGCTGATCCAAGAATGTCGGACGTAAACTGTTACCTTTGTGCATTTCGTAATGAAAGTAAAACAAACCGCAAAATTGGATATCTCCTGACTGCGAAAAAAAATGGAACAAACAAGACTATTGAGCTGAAGGGAAGTGCCAAGTCTGCTCCACAGTGCTTTGACCATTCACGACTGCTGTTTACCTTTTAGTGCCAGTGTTATGCCGACGTCTGTGGCCACTAGTGAGGTTTCCGTTAATTCACCACTGATGATAAGCGGCGGTCGCTAGTGGTTAACAAAGCCTCTTTTATGTATGCACATTGATGGATAGAAGCAAATGGGCTCAAAGTGCTACGACATCCACCTCGCAAGCACAAGAAAGTTATTCACACCAAATCGTTACGTCATTTCCCGATGGCAGTGAAAACATCCTTCCATTCATCCATTTTCCGATCCGCTTATCCTCACGAGGGTCGCGGGGGTTGCTGGAGCCGATCCCAGCCATCTTCGGGCAGCCTGAACCGGTTGCCAGCCAATCGCAGGGCGCACACAGACGAACAACCATCCACGCTCACAATCACAATTGAGAGTGTTCAGTCCTCCTGCCATGCATGTTTTTGGAATGTGGGAGGAAACCGGAGTACCCGGAGAAAAGCCACGTAGGCCCGGGGAGAACATGCAAACTCCATACAAGGAGGCCGGAGCTAGAATCGAACCCGGTACCTCTGCACTGTGAGGTTGACGCGCTAACCACTGGTCCAACGGACCGTCCGCAGTGAAAACATCCAACCCCTAATCCTAACCCAACGCAGAGAGAGAACACGGATGACTGGAATGTGAATCACAAGAAAGAAAACGGCGCCAAATGAAGGACGATGAAGTAATCCGAGAGACTCCGTATGCCTGGGTCGGCGCCACGATCAGGATTATAAACAGAGTTCAAAAGTGAAATGTTAATGAGTGTCTCTGAACTGGCTAGTCATTTATTTATATATATAT